TGTGCGTTTTCGTGAGTGACAGCCTTGATATCTTGAACCAGAATGCAGTTAGTGCTGTCTATCGGGCGCATAGAGCTCACTGCTGGAAAGTAAACAAAGGCGTCCGTTTTAGGATAAGAGAAAGATGAAAATTTGCTGTGCGCGCGGAGAGAGAGGGAGAGAGAGAGAGAGAGAGAGAGAGAGAGAGAGAGAGAAAGAGAGATGCCTCACATGCAATCGCGCGCACAAATGTTATATTTGCAACGTACGGCTAGTATTCCGGGCGAAATAGCATTGCCCGCGCGACGCTTTTATAGCGTCAGGAATCAGGAACGGCTTTAGTCGAACGTCTGGCAGCGGCCTAATGGGTTCATAAATTCGGACAATCGCTTTCGAATTACGATGGCACACTAGATTTCCCATGACAACCCGACCCTCTTGTTCGAGTAACTTTTAAAGCAAGGTATCCGTGTAATATAAAGTACGAAGTCTAACGGCTTGAATCACAGTTGTATCGAGCGTACAATATTGCTTCATCAGATGAAGAAATCTGGTTTGTTACGCGCTGTAATACCTTACAATCCTTACATTGTCTATATATTATATATATATATATATCACTTTTCTTATAAACTTTAGCAAAACAGTATTGATGATCATTTTAATGGTTTTTACTACACTATAATATATATATGTCCAATGACAAATGATTATAACATCTAATATTTGAATAAAGTTTCTTCAAAGACCAATTAATACCGGCCGATATAATCCGAGATCCAATTATGTTGATGCTATATCAGTAGTTATCTCGAGTTCCAGATCATTTATATTAATGTTTTCTGAGCGATAAGTGCAAGTTCGTTGAATTTAAACGCCATGATAAATTCGGCAATAAAATCCTTATCCGTGGCGGGATATTGCGGTTTAATTAATTATCTGTCTCGTGCGCCGCGAGCGCCACGAATTAATTACGCGGTTTAACGAGAGTTTTTAAAAAGGGGCAGGCAGGGGCCCGGGCCGGCGCAACCCCGCCTAACGACCTCTTGGCTTATCAACGCAACAAAACATCGATAACGCATAATTGAATTCGCGTGTTATTGCCGCGCGGGTGATTTGACAAATCGCGATTCGCCGATACACTCGGCGCCGATATTTAATGGGCGCGTTTTCGCGCCTCGCGATTTATCGCATCGCAGATTGTATAAGCTTGCACTGTCGCGATAATAGCGCTCGTTATTGCGCACGCCTGCGCCACCACGTTTCTAGTAAAATTGCCCATTGTCGTACATTACATTGTTATTTTATTACATCCCTAAAAAGCTTCTTCCTAAAACGCAAACAGTACATATATACGGAAAAAGAGAGTACAGCATTAAATGAAATTGAAACCGTAAGTAAGCTTTCAAATATTTGGCCCTTTGATACGAGAGAGATGGCACGCGAAAGTAAAAGTTCGTAAAAGTTTAAACTAGATAATTTAATAAATGCAGATTGATACCTAATTCCCTCAATACTTTTCGCAATAACTTGTCTCTCGCCATAGAAAAGTCTTCCGTGCAGACGATAGTCCTTGACAAGTTTCTTCGAGGTAAGGAAGCTGCCGCGATACGTGCGAGACGAGGGGGATACGCGTACACGTAAGAGTTCTTCGTGTACGTACGCATACGGACAGTGGGCGAGCGTGTACGTGTACACATGTACGCACGTCAGACCGGAGATAGGCGAAATGACCGGAAAAGAGCGACTATTCCTTCGGGATCGACGTTGCCTGGCCGCCATGTAACTATCGTTGAAATTGAGTTGCAGTGAACTGTGAATGACCTTATTTCGCGTATATGCCAGTCAGCGTGGCATCGTTTTCGTTCCTGCTTCACGTCGCTGCAACTCAGCAATCCAACTTTCCACATATCGCACCGGATGTCTAAAAAAATCACGCGGTAACTTGGAGATACTAATATCAAATGTTACGATTAACAGAAGAAAAGCGTCTATTTTGTAACATTAAAAATCGATTATATTTTTGTATATACCGAAACATATCGAAAATAAGGTTTCCTAAATCCAATCTTCTATAATGCAGCCGTGCGTTTCGCAGTTTATCTTAGACTTTAGTTTAGCAGTTTTAATATCGTAGCCGTTAGTTTCTAAAATATTTGACGTTGTAAATTAGGAATCTCAGGATAGCGAATGCGAAATGAGCTTGCACTTGGGATCTCTAAGCAATTTAATCTACCGGCAGCTGCGACCTCTGAGACACCCTGTGTGCTCAGCTATAAGGACAATACTCTGCGATATACAAAGTCATCCCAAAATTCAATATTACATAGATCGTGAGACCAAGTTTCTGATGATGAGCCACCGGAAATTTAAAAATGGCCATAATGCAAACTACGGAAGGGGTCGTTACGCCGTCCGTCAGCCACCCCTTCTCCTCCCCCCCCCCCCTTTGCTTTCGCGAGGGATGGAAAAGGCGAGCGCGACTGTGAAGGACAGCGGGCACGTTCACGGCGGGGAGGGGGAGGGGGAAGGGGTTGGAGGGGGAGGGGACGCAAAGGAACAACTTTTTCAATTATATACCCCCGGATCGATAGAGCGATTCATTCCCGAGAATGATTCCCGGATTATCGTAGGATTATCCCGCCGCCACCCCGACCCGGTCCGTTCTACCGCCCACTTCCGCTCGTACGTTATAATGAAATGTTTACAATCGATCCGTCTACCCTTTCGTTCCGATCCGCCGAAGCGTGAGTCCAGACACGACAGCGTTATCGAGCTGCCTACAATGTCATTATTATTGACGAGTTAACTATTAATGGCGCAGTAATAATGTTCCTCCCGTGACAGAAAACACAAGCGGATGAATCACATATTGCAGTTTTTTTTAATGACATACGTCCCATACAAAATCGTTATTTCCCAGTTGTGTCAATTTTCAGTCATAATTATAAAGGACTCTTTTACACGAGAGAGATTTGAAAATCTGTACGACGGTCAAGATCCGTCTCGCAAACGTATTAGACTTTATCATCCGAAGGGTCTAAGAGGATTTCACGGGAGAGAGAAAGGACACGAGAGAGAGAGAGAGAGAGAGAGAGAGAGAGAGAGAGAGAGAGAGAGAGAGAGAGAGAGAGTAGCTGAGCTGCATTGTGTTTCGCGAATTTGTACAGCACTTCCTCTCTTCCCCTTCCCTTATTCTCTCTCGTCAGGTTTTTGTGACCGCGCTCTAAAAATTAAACATTTAACAAAAATGAACTGTTCATGATTTTAAATACATTTAAAAATAATTATAAATAACAAACAAAATTGTCTAGCTTTACTCTCGGCTTGAAGATCGTTTGTCAAAAGAAATTGTCGTTGCAACGGTTTCGTTAGTTGCTTGTAAATGAAACCGTGAAAGAGGTCCACGTCGGAAGTGGTTTGTCGCAAAATGATTTTGGCCCTATGAGGGTCACAAGCAAGCGAGCGAGCGAGCGAGCAAGCAGGCAGACGTATGTCAAATTAGCGAAAAGCAAGGCAACTCGCGTGCATGCAAAATTCGTGCGTTCCGCAGCGAGGGGCAGAGGGATGAAACGAGGAGGATTCGCGCACACGGTTTTATGTGCTCGCGGTGCGTGTGCGCGCGCGCGCGCGTGCGCTGATATATGCAGCTGCATATGTGTGTACTCGCGTCGAGAGAGGGTAGACGGACCTGCAGGGACCGTAAAAGAGACGCGGGCGCGGGGGAGGGCGGAGGAGAGGGGTAACGCTGTGGAGGTTGGCTGCGGGGTAGTTTGGATGCAGTAGCAAACAGGCAGATTGGATTCCAGACTCGATTTACTGGAATGCAGAAATAACAGCTGGCGAGCAGTCTCCTCGAGGCCGAGAATCGACTTTACAGTCCCTCCCCCTCTTCCTGCGACACGCAGGAATGGGAGGTGGAAGAAGAGCATGGACGCCGAAGACGAGATGGACAGTTCCAGCGGGGAAGGGATGTTATATAGATTCATTCGGAGCACAATACGGCCCGGCTACACTCTCCCAGCATCTCCCTTCCCGCTCGCCGTCAAATCCCCTTTAGTCCCAGCGACTTCGGATGATGAAGTCTAATACGTTCGCAAGTCGGACCGTGACCATTGTGCGGATTTTCGGATTTCTCGGAAAATGCAAAAACACAATTTACGTGGGAAGGGTGTGGGAGAAGGCAGAGGGGAAGAAAACAGGTTCCTTTCTGTTGCGCGCTGATAACAGGTAAGCATTAATTCCTCTAATCGGACTCGGGCGCCATGGAGATGCACAGTGATCTTCAAGCCCGTTCGCGCGCGTATCTTTGGCCTCGCGCCCCGTTGGCTGCCGCATTAGCATAACGGACCTGGTGGAGCCATTTTCCGTGACCTTTTTTTTGCAGTAACGATAACCTAACGCGGTGTTCTTTCAACGTTGATCTTAACGACGCGGATCAACGATGGACGGATTTGTCTCTCGTTTTCTTACCGCGAGCTCGTTAATAGAGCTCGCGGCTACCGCAACGGCAAGAATACGACGTCGTAGTATTTAGCTTCGGTAAGATTTCACGTTTACATACGTCGCGCGAGGATTTTCGCCGTTGTTTGTTATTTATGCAGCAAAGTTTACCAATGTTAGCCATAGGGCGTACCGAGGTAGTGCGCCGTTAGTTGCACGGCTATCGATTTGTACGTCGGGTAGGCCATTGCCCCGCGAAATTGCCCGATTCGTTTAGCAAAGACACGTACTTTTAAATTCTGATAATCCGATTCCCTCCCTCGAAGCGACCAAGTGCGACCAAAAATTTGAAAGATTGAAAGATCGATAAGGTACTCGAGGTACGTTAAGGGCACACTGGCGTTACTGCCGTCTGAGACGAAGTAACTTTCTGTGTTGTCTCCTCCCGCGGCGTTCGGTTACCGTTATTAGCGGATAGAAAGGCGTGGTATCGATTCGTATATGAATGCGTACCACCCTTTCTCCCCGATCGTGTGACGCGCTACGGTATGTAGTTCCTCAGCTACGGAGTGTTACGGGCGAATCGCACCCCATGCCAATGGAAACGCTTCCTCGCTATCGACGGGCAATATTTTTGCCTCTCCCTAACCGGATGGAGCCAACCACTCCGTGTTAAATGAACCATTACGCGGGCAATGTTACGCCGTAGCTACGCTCTTCCTACGGAAGAGCCCGGACTTCCGCCGTTAAACAGTATTTAATTTTCCCGAATACAATTTTGTACCATCGTCTACGCACGATCGTATTACTCCATTCTACTATGGATATGATAACAATTCAACAATGGGAGAAGTTAAATTTAAGATTAAAGGTGATTTTAGTAAAAGCAGAAACAAAGAGTATTGTCATCATTTTACACTTGCGCGCATTTCTTTTTCATATATTACGTAAAAATTCTTTTTTAACACAGATGAAAAATCATGACAATTATCTGAACATTGTGAAAATAATTCTTTTAGTGCAGTATTTTGAAAATCTCTAAGGCAACATTGCCGTCGGCGATATCTCTTTGCAACAAATGTTTCAACATAACGTAAAACAAAACGGACTCGCGTGTTTTGTAACCAAAAGCTGCTTCTATCGCAAGGAAACGTAGTGTTTAAACGTCAATCGTAAAATAACGCTGCCGTGGCAGTGTTATATGCACCGACACTGCAAGAAAAGTGTCAATGTATATCGTAGGAAATACACAATTGTATTTTGCGAACAAATATAATATAGCTGCGCTGCGTTAATATTTCGAGAATAGTTTACTTTTTCTGTTTCTATCGCCCGAATTTAATTGATTCTTTTGTGACCTTACCTTTTTTAAATTAATTTCATGCTATGTTTCGACTCTGCTTTTGTTCATCAAATTTTGATATATTATCTAAATTGCATGTCAAAAAAATATTATTATGGCACATCGAAAAAGAATGTTTTTATAAATAAATTCGCGTTCGTCTCGCTTTTTTTGACATTTTTTTTTCTTTAGAAATAGAGTGAAAATATGAATTCTACGTTCGCTAATATTTGTGAATCTCATTTAGTTATGATTTGCATGATTACGCGAAATTCGTCATGCCTTCACGCGGAATGTTATGGTGTCAGTCATATGTATAATCCCCCTCTGTGCGTACAGGGATTAGCATGGTGCAGTAATGCCGACGTTCCGATGGATTTTAGCATTAGGTGGGTTGGGTTAGTCGTAACCAGATTTGCAAGTTAATAATGAATTATTGTACCGTGAATTTCGGGTCAGCCAGCAATAGAATTGCGCCGGACTATCCGCCGGCGGCTATGTTACTACTCGGACGTGCGCTCGGGGACTAATAAAAACGGCTCATTCAAATTTACACTGAGGCAAATATTATTTATGAAATGGCTGCATTAAATAGCTGTCCGCCATCCATCATCGTACATTACAGATATAGATCTGATTAAATATCCTTAGAATGCTTCATTTCACATCAATCTAATCAGGCATTCATTTAATCCAAAATCAGCTGTCAGAGTTACAGCAGTTACACGATCACTTATTTAAAGTCTCGAGGTATAAAGTTGGTTTTGGAAAAAGGTTTTAAACGGGACGATAACTTACCAGCAAAATACGCCAGCATCGCCGTCAGCGCCACAGCCAGGAGGATCAGGGCGATCGAGAAGCATTTCCAGGAGCACCTGTGCTGACAACGTTTGTCGATGTGAAAGCGCGACGGTGAATACGGGGAGTAGTGCGGCACCGCTGCGGCACGGAGCGGGAAACCCGGCATCACCATGGCTTGGCCCTGCGCGCCTACCGTGGCGGTACCGCCATTTCCGGCGCCACCTAATCCGCCGCCCAGAGAACCCACCGTCACCTGCTGTTGCGGTGGCGGAAGCCTGAAACAACAAGAAATAACCGACGTTAGGGGTGGCGCCTGCGAGGAAATCATTAAACCGCACGATTACAATTAATCATCGTACATACGCGCGTACATTAAATTTACGCTAAATGATACATCTAAAATCAAGCTGCTAAAGTTGCCAAATATTCGATCCGTCGCGATTAATAACTGCGAGTCGAACGATCGGCCACGAACGATGACAAATTGTCCGTGCGATTGCGAATCAGGAACGGAGTCGACGTCGATTAGTATCTCTCATGTGTCTCGCTTACTACTGATTATTAGTTAAATTCATGCCGATACTCATCGGCGTATCGGTACGTCGGGGAGGGTAATAAATGGGAGAGTTGACTGCACGATCCAAGCCGGTCCCGTTTGATCCGATGTCGCTCCGAGAGCGATACGCACCGGCGATAAATCGACGACTGGTATCTGTTTGGCGCACGTGTGCCAGCGCGGAGGCGGCGGCGTGCGAGTGCGATCGCGTCGTGGTATACATACATAGACCCGAAGCATCGGCGATGCGCGTCCGGGGATGCAGATAACGCCGAGCTTATAAAAGATGCAGATGCCGCCATTAAGCCCGACATGGCAGGCCGCGACGCGTGTGCGTGCGCGCATGTGTATCGCCCGCACGAAAACCCGCGGGCTTTCGGAAAATGACGTTCGCGCGGGGGTGACGAGGTCGGCGAGGTCCTATACCCGTCGGACCCGTGTCAAGGATTTTATTTTCATCATCGACGATATTTATCTTCGTCCCCCCTCATCGAGAGAGCGGCCGGGGATAAGCGTGACCGTAGCCGGCCACGGATGAAAGGCCAACGTCGAAACAGGGATTTAATATGGTGCCCAGGATAAATATAGTTTTCCGATAATCATGCGGACTCATGAATAGCATTATGCGCGCGTCGCCGCTGAAATCCCGTAAGAATAACTCGATTGACAGTACGTCTCTAGGTAGGGACGGGAGATAGAGAGAAGGGCAGAAGGGGGGCAGGGCTCTGAAGCGCGACCAGGAAAAAGGAAACAAGCGGGAACTTAACAATGCGCCGCGGCGCCGATATTGGATTTTCCGCTTAAAAATTCACGTAGTATAAAGCCCGAACACGAGGCGCGGCCGCTTCGAATCGAATACTTACGAAAAATCTCTTTCGAGTCGGTTTTACGCCAGGTTCGACCTGGGAAGGCAGTCAGAACGTTGGATTTAATCCCGAACTTATCGCCTTATAAGAGTTAAGGTAACGTTTCACTTTCACGGGATGTAAGTGATTTAAAGTGATTTGAAAAAAAACGATATTTCCCGGGGGTAATACTCACGATATATCGATCGCGGAACACGTTTTGCTTCTTCTAAGAACGTTGAAGCAGTCGAATGACTTTCTTTGTTTATTCAGCAGAATCAACTTGGTCGAGTCGTCCAATGATTTTCTCTTTTCTTATAATCTCAAACACAGATATTTTAAGATATTTTAAAAATCTTTCAACTCTCTCTTTCTGTATAAAATAAATAATTTTTTTTCTTTCAGGACATATTCTAATTCAAACGTTATTTCAGTTTAGCAATTTTTCATCGGTTTCAAATCCCAGAAAGATTTGTCAAAAATGATAGATGTTGAACGGCAGAAGATTCTAAAAATAAGCTGAGACAGATATGTTGCAGAGTTTCGAGATGAGCGTTTCTCCGTTCCCCTTGAAGGAATCGTTGAGATGTGTCGTGTGCCGCGCGTAATTTATAAGTTGCTTAACAAACCTAGTCCGACAAATACCATAAATAATCGCGCTTAGATGCCGACGGTTCGCAATCCTATAAATGTCCGCTCATATTTTCTGGAAGCGGGAAGCAATCAGACACGACGTGAAAAAATATCACTGGCAAAAGTCCCGGGTGTTCTTACGCGGCGACGCAGAAAAAAAGGAAGGATACGCGAGAGAAGGAGAATCCCCGCGTAATAAATATTACTTTTTCCTCGGTATCATTAACTTAGAAACGGAGCAAGCGGCGTAAAATTAATTTACTAAAAGTATCGGTGTGCTCGACGTCCGGCAAAAATCGGGCGGAGGAAAAAACTTAATGGTGAAATAATGGGAATTTTTTTCTAAGCTGGAAGATAGCCAAAGGTAGAGTCTTACTTCATCTCTGAATCATCCGGCGGCGTGCGGCAGTTATAGACATACTTCGAATATAATTTAATTGCAGAAGAGTATGATTTAATAAAAATATACAATTTTGAATAAAATAAGTCAACGCGCAGAGTGTTTCAAGTTTGCGCACAACTTCTTAGCTACCACGATATAGCCGTCAACTAATTTAAAAATAAATTTTCCGAGAACGCCAGAGCAAGATCGATGGTTCAGCGAAAAATGGCTTTATCTGATAAACGTTTCTGTATTATTAATATGAATAATATTTACCTTAATATGAATAATATTTATCCTCATATATTACTATTGTTGATTAATATATTATCGATTAAATTGGCTTGCTGGAATTATTTTCTCTCTTTTTTTCGCGACACTTAATTCTCATGATTAATTTATAACGGTCCGCGATTACTTCCGTATTCCGCTAGACTTCCCGAATTGAAGCTCCCAGAAGTTTTTTCTGGGAAATAAATAAATCTAACTCCCGGGCCCGGGCTAAGAGCCTCCGGACAGATGTACGGCGCTCCGGTCGGGACAACCGGATTCTTGATTGCACGTAACAGACAAATGAAGCGAGGGGAGTGGCTGAAAACAAGATAAACGACGAAAAAGGAGAGATAGCGAAGCCGGGGAGATGCACTGCGGAAGAACGGAGTAAGCAGCAATTCGGCGTGTTCACGCCGTGGCCCCTCTCCAAAGCCGGGTTAATCCATTTGTGCGAGTAAATCGGTTAGCTGGAATTGGGTTATATTTCCTAATCGATACGATGGATTAAGTTACCGGTTGGTCCGTCCTCTGGCTCGTCGGTCACGATGCACGGCTCTTTCTTCGCTAATTATCGTTAGCAGCGACAGAGGGAAACGTGAGAGAACTGTAAGTTTCTGAAGAGCTTCCAGCGGAAGATTACAGTAGTAATCTAGCACTATCGCAATTGTATCACATTTCAATACAAATGGCATTTTTAATTATAAAAAATAAGTATCGCGATATCGACGGGGTATATATTGGATTATTTTTCAATCCAATTTTAAGTCTACCGCGGGAATTTGCAAAATTCTCCACGGGATTGCCGGAATTGCCCGGGAATGAGAAATTGCAGATCTCAAGCCCCGTCTTCCCTTTGATCCGAACGGTTTGCGATTTTTCTTGTGACAGCTTAATCTAACTGAGGGACGTAAGCGTAAAGCTAAAGCGAGAAGTTGCCGCGGCACGACTTTCGGGAAGGAAGTTCGAAAACGTGCGGATGCTCCTTTAACCAATGTAAAAGTGGGTCGAGGAGCGTCGAGTTTGATCGTCAGCAACCTGGGCGGATTACGCAGTCCCGCTGCGAAGTTAGGATGTTCCTGATCTAAGTTAAGTCGTAGTCCGGTCACGAAAGGACCCGCCGTCGCTTTAAAGCAGGTAGTTTCGCTCGACCGGGCGACGACGATGGAGGTGGACGTGTATTGTATCAACGTGTACAAAACACCTCCACCGATTAAACCAATTGGACGGCTGTCTGATATATTGGAAGTTAAAGAGGTAATTGCGAGCGGCGTTGCTGCCACATATTGAGTTGAGTGTCGTCTGAGTGGAAGATTGGACTGTTTCAGCTGCGCGGGCTGAAGATAGAATCGAGCGTGTGATCCAATTATGTAACGCATGTTCCATCGCAGGAACGATTGGCAGCGACGAGTGCCATGTAGTTTCTGCACCATTTGAAACTTCGAAACCTCCCCGGCGTCGTGAGTCCTTCATTGGGACTCAACGGATGACAGGATGATTTTCGAAAGAAGTGAAAAAAATATGTGCCAAGAAATTAAATACTATAAACAAAGTCACCACATTCTCATTCTCTTTTCACTCTTAAATAATTCAGACTGCGGTGTGTATTTACTTATAAATATTTATCTTTAATTTTATTCCAATTATTTTAATTTTTGGATTTTTAATCTCTTTCGGATATTAAAAACGGGAGAATAATCCGCAGATGAGATACCTATCTTTACATTATTCTGTCACTGCTTCTATAGGCTCCTTTTTATATCTAAATAATGAATACATTCCTTAAAAAATTTTTAATACCCATCGTTCCTCGTCCCATTGTAAATTCTCTTGTTCAAGTAACTTATCTATCATCTGAAGTGATACCTATACCGTAGCAACGTTACTTCGAATAGTCCCCGACCAGTAGAAAACATAATGGAACCTTCCGAGAAGAAAGGGGCGTGAAAAATTTCGGAGGCCGCTGATACTCGATCGTTTGTCACGAGCGGCGCTTATCTGCGATCTCCCTCGAGATCGCGTAGCGCAGACGAAGCGCGTTCTAAGGTACGACGATTGTCGGCGTCGAGGAACGTTACCGTGGGTCCCGTAGGAGGTACACGTAGGAAGAATCCCTAATAAAAATCTGATACCCCGGTTCGTGCGCGCGCGCACGTACGCTCGCGCGCCGGTCCAGCCAAACGCGTTTCAAAGGGAAGATAAGGTGACAGAGAGACACAGGTAACACGACGCGCCGCAGTTGAAATTGAATCCCACTCTCGGGTGAAAAATTACGATCGTTGCTAACACGCCCGAGGGATAATGAAGTCTGCTTTCGCATCCATTGTTCCGCGGAGGGGCAACGTCGACGCATAGCTGTGCGCCTCGAGCCGCGCCTTCCGACAGCCGCCGCCGTCGCCGCCTGAGCTTTCTCGCCGCTAGCGCGACGCCTCTAATTATTAATTTCGGCCTTTTAATATTAATTAGACTCGCGCGGGTCTGGGCGGGCGTGAGCGAGCGAGCGAGCGAGCGCGCGCGCACGCTATGCGCCGTAATGGAACGGCGTGATTACGCCGAGATTATAATTTTAATCG